TTACAATATAGCAGGTCGCGGTATATGTACAAAGCGGTATTACAGTTTAACGGTTCGCGGTATTTAGACGGAAAGATACACGGAGACCAAAGTGGTCTTACGGTGGAACCGGTCGCGGTATCTACGAACGGTGCGCGGGGCGCGGTACGGTCTTATGAACTAAGGATGCGCCGTCCCAGCAACCGGGAAGCCCGGCCTAACTACGGGAAGCCCGTAGCCTGGTATAACGCGAGAGTCGGTTCAAGATCCGGAGAGTTGTACGTGACAGGAATCGGGATCGGGAACTGGTAACGCTACGCTCGCCGGAGCGCCTTATATACCGGCGGCCGGCCTCCCACTCACGCGAGTCGGCGCGTGGTGGGGCGGCCCCACGGTGGGGCCGAGACACGGGTGTGGAAGTTTAGAGGCGCCATAGGCGCCGAGCCTCAGAATTGCGGGCGGCTGGTCGGCCCGCAAGGCTGGTAACGTATCGTTACATCTTCACCCGATTAGATACATACGGGATCAAAATAAATCCAGCTAAATGTGTTTTTGAGGCAAAGCAAGTAAAGTTTCTCGGATATCTCGTGTCACAAGAAGGTACTAGGCCACTTCCGGAAAAAGTCGAAGCCATAAGAGACTTTCCAAAACCTAGCAGCATTAAACAAATGCGCCAGTTCTTGGGGATAATAAACTTTTATAGACGTTTTATCCCCGGAGCTGCTAAAGAACAGGCAACCCTCAACGACGTGCTGAAAGGTCCAAAGAAGAAAGGAAAAACGCCTATCACATGGACGACAGAACTGGAAGAAGCGTTCACCAGCTGTAAAAACAGCTTAGCTCGAGCAACACTACTAGCACATCCAGATCCAGCAGCAGAATTAGCGGTAACAACAGACGCCTCAGACACCGCAATCGGAGCTGTAGTCCAACAACGAGTAGACGGACAATGGCAGCCACTCGCGTTCCTAAGTAAAAAACTTAACAACGCACAAAAGCAGTATAGCCCGTATGATCGAGAGCTACTAGCGATCTACGTCGCTGTAAAACATTATAGACACTTGCTGGAAGGACGAACATTCACAATATACACGGACCACAAACCAATTACGTTCGCCTTCAGACAAGACTCACTGCGCAGCTCACCACGGCAAGCAAGACACCTCGAATTGATCGGACAATTTACAACCGACATTCGACACGTCTCCGGAAAAGAAAACGTCGTGGCAGATTCTCTTTCTCGCGTAGAAGCTGTAGAAAAAGCAGTAAACTACGAAGCACTCGCACGAGCACAAGAGGAGGACCCAGAATTACAAAGGATCCTGAAAGCAGAGAAAGGATTAAAACTAACGAAGATATCTCTTCCCGGAACAATAACCGGATGGTATTGCGACACAGAAACGCCAATTACACGACCATACGTACCAGAAGCACTACGCCGACAAATCTTCCTGTCACTGCATAACCTGGCACACCCAGGAAGAAAGGCAACAGTAAAACTCATCACACAACGATACGTATGGCCACAAGCACAAAAAGACTGCACGAGATGGGCACAAGCATGCATACAATGCCAAAAAGCAAAAATCTCAAGGCATAATCAAGCACCGTTAAGAAACTTCCTAAATCCCACACAGAGATTCCAACATATACACATGGACATCGTAAGACCTCTACCAATTTTGAAAGGATACCGATATTGCCTAACCATCATAGACCGATTTTCGAGATGGCCAGAAGCCATCCCAATACGAGACATAACCGCAGAAACAGTCGCACAACACTTATACACGGAGTGGATCACACGCTACGGCACACCAGCAAGAGTTACAACGGATCAGGGCCGACAATTTGAAGCAGATTTATTCAAACAGCTAACACAGCTAACCGGTACTACGCACATAAGGACAACAGCATACCACCCGGCAGCCAATGGAATGGTCGAACGCTTACACAGACAATTGAAGGGCGCAATCAAATGCTACCAAACCACCTCATGGACGGAGCAACTGCCAACAATACTTCTGGGCATTAGAGCTGCATAGAAGGAAGACCTGCAGGCAATCCCCGCCGAGATGGTTTATGGAGAAACAATTCGCCTCCCTGGACAATTCCTACGGGAACAACAGGGACGGGAGAGAGAGCAACAAGCAGACACCGCAGTAGAGAAACTACGCAAAACTATGCAACAGTTAAGACCCGTAATGAAAAGGCACGGACAGAAAGCAGTATTCATATTCAAGGACATGGCAACGACACCACAAGTCTTCGTACGCCATGACGCCCCAACCGGAGCTCTACAGCAACCATACGACGGACCATACGAAGTACTGCAAAGAAACGAGAAGACATATAAAATCAAAGTCAACGGAAAACCAGTCAACATCTCAATAGACAGACTGAAACCAGCATACGTCCTAGAAGGAGAACCAACGTCAACAATGCCAACATCACCAACAACGCCAACATCGCCAACAACGCCAACAACGCAAGAGCAGGAACAACTAATAAAAAAGGGACACACCCGATCCGGAAGACCAATACGACCACCGGTCAGATTCAACATCGACCAATGAAGGGACTTCACCACAACCAAGGGGGTCCTGTGGCGGATAATCCATGCGACTAACACCACCGGCGCTAACACCTCCCAGGAGCGGCTCTAATAGAGGCGGCAGAGAGGAACGGGCCACTCAGATGGACCATCGCAGTCTGGTGCATCGCGGCACACAACATCGTCAGCCGCAGACACAGGAGCGGGCAACGCAGTCCTCCGACTCTGACTGGGAGGCCACGACCAGAACAGCGGCCACGCAAACAGAGGCAACACACCACAGAGCCTCCACGCACCTCCGGCGAACTGTTTCAACACCAGCGAAGCCCAGGGTCTCGTCCCAGCAAGGAACCTTAAAGTGGACTAAGGCTACGCCACAAATCTCGTAGCGAGAAAACCTCGCCACCCGTAGGAGTCGCTAAACGCGACGCAATCAGCCCTTTTCAGGGCCACACAAAATTTAACACTTGTACATATAACCAGTCCCTAACAGCACATGATATCATTCGAATATTCTGTTCTGATACTGTGAATATACTTAATATATGTAATATACTGAGAACATCCCTATAACATTTCTTGTAGAATATTATTTCTCGTATATTCTCAGGATATACCTATAATATTTTTTACAGTATATTATTTCTCGTACATTTTCTTGTATATTCTCAGAATATACTTAAAATATCTCTTACAGTATATTATTTCTCGTATATTCTCGTATATTCTCAGAATATACTTTTGAGTTACGCAGAATTTTATAGTGAGATATCAGAAACGTCTGGTGAGCGTCCAGATAGCGCTGGCATCGCGTGGTCGCCTAGAGTATATGTGAATATATAATCCTTGTGTCTTGTGAAAAGAGATCGTTTGGTCGAGCTTTTAGTGCTCAGGATCTGTTGACAGTGTTGACCGTTTTGTGTTTTTGGATTAATCCATTAAACTCTGCAGTGGATTCGCGAGAACAAGTAACATTTTCGGTAGCAAAATACATATTACATTGTGAGACAAAGGTCTGCTCGGCCATGTCGGCCGCATTCCTTCTCGGTGTGCTCTTTCTATTTTTTTTCAACAAGATCTTGGCTGACGCAATAACCGTATAACGCAATAACCGTTCGTCATTCCTGATCTTTCTTTGAGGAAAGTTTTACCGAATAACGGGTATTTTACTTAAAGTAACTTTCTTTTTTTTTAACAGCGTCACCAGATAGTGATTTATAGCGTTCTTCAACCTGTCTTTCCAGGTTATGTGACACAATATATCTTGCGAGTAACTTTCTTTTCAATTTTCCATTTACGTGATGTGTATAACTTATACACATCACTGTGTATAAATTATACACATCACATAAATGGAAAATTGAAAAGAAAGTTACTCGCAATATAGTGAAATCTATCACTTATATTTTTTATTGTACGGTGAACTGTTTTATCCTCCGAACATTCTCAGAATCTACATATGCTGTTAGGGGTAGAATATATTTATTGTCGATACCTAGAAACGTGCATTCTACCTTTCAATCAACATCCTATCTTCGAACATATCCAAGCAACCTCCACAATATTCATCTATATAATTGATTAAAGTCTTATACCCGGTTTTTTCACCTCCCGATAACTTTATCCGGCAGATATCACGCGGAATCGACAAATCGGATCATCTGACGGACACCTTTATCTGGAGGATAGCTATCGGGAGGTGTGAAGAAACCGGGCATTAAAGGTGAAGAACACTGCGAGCGTGAATCGGACCGGCTGTGAACATGCTGTTAGCGCTGTAAGCTTGTTTCGGACCGCAGCCACTGTATGTTAAAGTTCGATCGCGGGCTCGTTCTTAAAGTAACCGGCGGTCAGTTCTAGAAAGTTATTACTGCGCACTGCCTAGTTCTAAATAAAGTCTTCTGATTGGTCGGTCCAAGGAATCTGTAACTCCTTGCGCAATCGATTATTACTATTAAAAGAACTAAAATATAGTTAATTCCTAAGTTAAATAACCATATGGAACCAGAATAATAAGCAATTAGTGAAATTGATTAATAATGGAAATAAGAGCAAATGGTAAAATAATTGTTCTATATTCCATAGGCATAATGCAGAAATAGATGCGGTACTGAATTATTAGTTAAAATATGGTTTTGAAAAATGACGGGACGTCACAATATGCAACTATGTCAATTTGTGTGTGAGGGCCTTTACTCAATGCTGCCGACCCTTAGGCCGGTATTCATAGTCAGTTCTTATTTCAAGACCGTCTTAAGTAATGTCTTAAGATGCTAATACGGCTCTGTAATTGGTTTAAGACATCTTAAGATTGTGCTTAAGACGGTCTTAAATATAAGAACTGACTATGAATACCGGCCTTAATATTTGAATTAGAGATATGTAGTTATTTTCCGAATTTCTTGTATATAGAAATTAGCGGTATCTATATGCATGCGCGGACACTGTAGTGTTGTATGCATAGATATAGGCCCGTATTCATAATCAGTTCTTATATTTAAAGGCCGGTATTCATAGTCAGTTCTTATATTTAAGAGCCGTGGCCCTTAGGGCCCGGGCACATAAAAAAACTTAAGCAATAAGACTTAAGACGTAGGGAGCCATTACATAAAGCGCGGAAACGCGGATTAGCGTAACGCGGAACGAGAAGGGAACCAATCGCGAGCGTAACAAAAACTGCAGAATGCTCGCGATTGGTTTCACTCTCGTTCCGCATTACGCTAATCCGCGTTTCCGCGCTCCATGTAATGGCACCCTAAT